TGAATAGAAGATATAAAGTAACATTGAGATGGACCACGCCTGCATGGCCGAGCCATGCCATACGATCAACTCCAGTCCATTCAATTCATTGTTCGCGCCTTCTCCATCGTTAGGTATTTCTCCGCGTTAAATATTGAATATCTATTTCCTGAGTAGTCTCGTGTTCACAGCTTTGTGGATTGTGTGGCTATTGTCCAATGCCACTACAGACTCGCGGCGTTCATATATAAGCAGTTTATGCTTTCAATTTGGAACGCGTGAGCTTCGTCCTGTTTTACTGTATGAGCCTTATGTGAATGGACAGGTAGCCCACCTATATGAGGTTTGCCGAGATGGTAGGCCCTGTCCTTTACACGTTTTTTTATCATTTAGATAGTCCACAAGTGGAATGGTCAGCTCCGACTTGCTTTTGTGTTTGGTCCTAGCTTCATATTGCCTATCCGGGTGCATGTGGATTCCAGGTGGCAATCGACGTCTATTAGCACGAAATGCTTCCAGAACTGCAGCCGCCATGTGGGAAGATGGGAAGGTTATCTTCATTAGACGGGGTCTGGGGTCACCGTCCTTCTTGGCTAGTCTCGTCACATGCAGAGTCAGTATGCGTTTGAGCCTCAAGGACTGTTCGATGAATTTCCATTCCCTGATGTCAGAATTTGATTGAGTAGGGTCTGCATTTTCCGGTATACCTTTCACAATTTTGTTTATTCCGCGGAAAACTATCTCTCGAGATTCTTTAGGGGTGTTCCGTAGGATATTGCGCTCAGAGTACGGTATGTCGGGCAATATTTTTACGTTACCATCGGATTTCAGCAAGTGACTAGCTAGCAAGACGTCCTCTACGTCAGTAGCACTCCTAAGTGTTACTCGAAGAAGCCTCGAGTGATTCGGATGCTTAGAATCCCTTCCTCGAGTGAGCCGTGTGACCGTCAAAGGCTCTATTCTTGGAAGTTCAAGTTTCTTGTTTAGTTCTATTAAATTAGGTGGAACTCAAAAAAGTAATCTACCGGACGTTTAGCTCAGGATAGATTCTTTTAGACAGAAGTGGTACTTTTGTTGCGTAAGAACACAACAAAAGTTTGATAAATGCAAATCACGTTAGGACTAAACTTCCTGTTCGAAAAGCGGAATTTCATATACTGCAAATTATCCTAAATAATAAAGAAACCATTCGACAGTTGCTTCCCACTTCGATTTGAGACGAGAAGACAAAATCGGATTTGTGTGATGATGACAATAGGCTTACGGCTTGTGGTATTTCTTTCTAGCAAGCGTCTGAAAGCGTGTGGTCTTCTCTCAAATCAGTCAATTTAAGGAGCGGACACCACTCCTTGGGTACCAGTACGTGAAAAGTGTAATGTCACTGGACCTTATCCAAATCATCAGGCACTTGGGTTACTGGACGTTGAACTGCTCACCGATCCCCGACAATATCATGGACAACCAACGTGCAACTGTTAACTACACGTCACGGATCGGCCAATGCATCAGTGATCTCACTATGTTCCTTGTTCTTACTCATACTAACATATTCCCTAATCGCGTCATTTGTGCTGTACGGTCATCAAAGCAATCTTAGTACCTGGATACGACAAAAAATAATCACCTTAGGCATTAACCGCGGTTTGGCCTAACAAGTGTGGGCCAGAAATCAACCTACAAAGATAATCTACGTTGGTGGTCTGTAACAAGTTCTTGGTTTGACAACCAATACGCCGCTGTTGTACTATTCTTTTACAGCTTTCGCCAATGCTTAGTATGTCCTCTGTTCTATCCTGATTCAGTAGGAAGAGAATAAGAGGATATATCATGTTCAAAATCATTTCTTAGTACTCTATACATCAAAATCAGCGACAAAACAGAGCAAAGAGATCCAGCTTATCAAGCCACCCTTTGTATACTGAAATAGCACCTGTAGCTATCCTCGCTACCTTTTTCAAGATAAATTAGTCGTCTTTCAAATAGGGGCTTTCAGCCTGAACTCAGTTCACAAGTTTCAATTTTATCAAAATTGTACATACTATAGTAAAACATTTAGTGCTTAACTTGGTAATTATCCGCCTTGATGCTCATATGACTCTAAACCACTCAACTGAGACCTCACCACAGTGAGCAGCGATCTTAAGATCGTGGATCAGTGTTACTCCCAGACCATTGAGAGACCGAACCTCGGGCATAGGCTCCTTACCGCTGATGTACCTACTTAACCTCTAACTTCGAGACCGACAGGCAGGATTCCGTAAAGTTCGGTATTGTACAGACCAAATCACAACATTACGGATAATTTGGAAAAATCGATTGGATGGAATTCATCACTCTACATCAACTTCACTAACTACGAGAAAGCAGTTGATAGCGTGGACAGGACAACACTGTGCAGGCTTCATCGATACTTTGGCGTACCTGATAAGTTATTCAATATCATACAGAATTACTATGATGGATTAAACTGCAAAATCGTGCATGGAGGACAATTGACAGACTCGTTCGAAGTAAAGACCGTGTCGAACAACGTTACTTACTCTCACCCTTCCTCTTTCTTCTGGTGATCGAATGGATTTTGAAGACGTCAGCATCTAGAGGGATGAATGGGATACAGCGAACATCTAGGATGCAGACGTGGGACCTAGACTTCTCAGATGATCGGGCTCTTTTATCTTTCACGCAACAACCAATGTAGGAGAAGACGACCAGTGTAGCAGCAGCCTCAGCAGCAGCAGGTCTCAATATACACAAAGGGAAAAGCAAGATTCTCCGATACAACACAGCATGCACCAATCCAATCACAATTGACGGAGAAGATTTGTAAGATGTAAAAGACTTTACATATCTGAGCAGGATCGACAAGGAAAAGCAGCATATCTACAGTCGAAGAATTTCTAGAACTCAAAACAATTGTCAGTCAACACCAAGGTCAGAATTGGACTGAGGTATGAATCTATCCTGCGTGTGTCAACAATAAAGTAATGAAATGAATCAAGGGAGGTATGTAATCACTTCTGAATATGGACATTACTTCCCGAAACCGTGGATAGAGATATATTTTCACTAGGAACGCTCAATCTAATAAACTCCGAACTGCAGAGTTTGCCATCATCAATGTCAAAATGAACAGTAGTTCCTCTGACTGACAGGATGTGTTCAGTTTTACCGCACCAATCGAGTACAAAAGAATTATTAGTTCGTAAAGCACTACACAAACCTTCTAAACTTACGGAAGATCAAGAGACAAATATTTTAAGCTTCCAGATATTGATATTTGTTTCATCAGTCCCAAGTAACTGAAATCCCTTGCGTCTTCATTTTCTATTACCGAAAGAAATGTAAGTCATAGTACAGAATTTCCCGAATTTCTCATTGTCGCTTAAGGAATAAGCGGTAATGTATTCAATGTGCAGAAATTTCAATATACTTTTGAACCTGTTCTAAACAGAGATTATGGTTCCCTTATTCGATCTACTGAAGATGCTGAGTGTATAATATCTTGTACATTTGCTTTCCAGATGTTTGGCCTGACACATTCTCCTTGTTAAAAGAGATATGAAAATCAAAGACTAGGACTGCATGGTTGCTTCAACCTACTGGTAGCATATGAAAGAAGTTTGTGACGTTATCCTTACAATGTGTCAATATAAGATCTAGTAAAGATGATTCGGGGTTCAGATTGTACCTGGTTACTTTACTCACACGTTGCACTAGAGCAAATGTGATAATAGAGTCAACTAATTTCCATTTGAAGGAATCTTTTGACACCCTATCGTATTAGCACTGGTCATTCTGTAAGGTAATAATAAATCAATCGCAATTCTGCAATACAAATGGTTGAGAATTACCTTAAAATGAAATCATGAAGATGTGTTACGGACACTCCCAATTTAGCAAATGCTTTCGACACTGCGTAACAGTGTCTACATATCAGAAAGCCAACCCAGAACCTATTTCTGACGTGTGGGGGTTGTCTACTTAGATTTTTTTGGTAGAACTAAGTAAAAACTATTTGGTCGTAGTTTCTCGTCGAATATACCTTTAGGATTCAAATGACCACAGATACCCAGTGAGCATAAGAGCACATTACCGGTAAAACATTTCGAACTGAATAAATGATAGTCGGCATAAACCCCACAGTAGTACAATAAACTACTAAGTTATAACCTCAGGACTGGTGTAGACACTCAGGGTGGCCAACATTCACTCAAAATATATTTGCCTGAAATTTTGAAGATAAAATGCGGTAGTTGTGCAAATATAATAGACAAAAATATCCAATAGATTCTGGATCGCCAACTAATTGGGTGGGTAAGAAAGAAGCACATTTACATAAACCTGTTAATTTGTTACCACTGACTTAGTGAACAAGTAAACAAACTACTTCGTTTACTTATTATCGACTCGCACTATCAATTACATATCTATGATTTCTTAATAATAACCGCTACTACATAATGACTGAAAGTACTATCCAATTTTTCAACCGAAGTTTGATAAAAACGAACCAAGAACTTCGATTGTTACAAATGAAAAATCAATGAAACATGTTGCCCAAGAAACATTCCAAACATCTGGATAACTTGAAAGATAAAACTTTCTACCAAGTATGATTTGACTAAAAGGTAGAAATAAGCTTCAAATACGAATGAAATATATAATGCTTTATATTCAGTGAATTAAATAAAGTCTCAAATTATTAAATAGGTATATGATAGGGAAAATGATACGATAATTACAATGATGAAAACAATTCATTAAACATTAAAACTTCAAATATTACGCAAAATTGTGTACTTCTTTCTAAGAAGAAATATCTACATTGAAGATTTACTTGAAATTACAATTTTAAAAAATCCACGGATCTCCATGTTATAAAATAAGGTTCAAGAAAAAAAGATGAACAATTTGAATATTTTTACAGATGATATAGAATGGAATGAAACCATATTATTGTTGTTAGATGATAATAAAAACATCAACGTTTATCACGGCATATAAGACATAACCTATACAATTTAATCATCATCATCATTGTCATCTCCAAGTAAACCGATTGGCCATTCTGCAACATTATGACGAGGTAATGAACCTTCAAATAGACGATCTAACCAATTGGATAAACCATCTAATAATTCACTTTCAAATAATACTCCATCATTTATTTGATGTCTTGACTTTAAATGTGAATGATTGTTATTAATATTAGATTGATTGAAATCTTCTTCATCATCTGATTCTAAACCGAATGCACGACCAAATATATGTCTACGCCGTAAGCGTTTACCTTGTTTTCCAACTACTGATGATTCGTCCTCATTTGATTCCTACATATATATACAAAGAGAGCGAGAATTGAAATGAGATAAAGAAGATAAAGTCAGAAACAAAATATTTCCAAAACATACATAAAACAATAATAATTGAGCATTTAGTGTTTTCTTTTTCTTTGTAAGACAAGTATCAACAGGTCAGTTAGTCAGTAACAACGTAGAACTCCGTACGTACGTACATCAGTTCGAATTGCCACATCACATTAGCACAGAGATGCAGTGGTCGATTCAAATCCCGTAGTGGTAAAGGTAGTAAAAGTATAAGTAGTAATCGGAAAGATTAGGGTTTGAATATGTTATTCAAGGAGTATAATAAAGTTAAATAAATTTGGAAAGAGAAAAAGAAAAGGGACATGAAGAATTCAGAAGATTAGAATTTGGGAGAACACAAAGAGTAGATGCACAGGTGCCATTGCAAACGACTTTGAACCATGTCATTCAGGGTCTCTAACCATCGGTTTCTATCATCTCGTGGATCCAAACCAGGTAGTCTACACCTACAAACATGGCTCAATCCACTTGTCAGTGACTTCATGGACTTGTGCCATATTATTATTATTATTATCAGCTTTACTCAATATTACATTTTTGGTACAATATAGAATTCTCAGCGCAAAGTATTTCAACGAGTTTCCGTTTCTTTTTTCTTAGTCGGTCCTGGCGATAAATATCGAGTGATCGCCAGTTAGATGTTAGCAGTTCAGTAAATGAACATCTGAATAATGTATATTCTTTTCGTTGTATATTGCCAGCAACCACATTGTTTCTTATTGAGTTTTTTGTAACTTTGACAACGAAAGGTTGTACACTTTTCAGAAACGCAGCAGAATATGTCATGCGATTAATAAACATAATGATACATTAAAACAAACGAAAATAGATAACTTGTTGAAATATCTCGATGGCAGGAACAGGTAGCCCAGATTCTCAAGCAGGCCGCCCTTTATATGTTTTGGTCTGGCCGCCCCTAGCTTTCTTACAACCTACTCCTACACCACAAAACATCGCACGTCGAGGCAGTCGGTGGTTGAGCATACGTAACACGTGTCCTAGCCATCTCAAATGAAGTTTCACCACTTCATCAATTGATTTGCCATCCTTACCTAGTACCCGTTTCCTAACAATTGCATTACTTACTCGATGGTCCCAGGATAAACGAGCAATGTTTCGGAGACATCTATGATCAAATACTAGTAACCTACGAATATCCTCTACTCTTACCGGCCACGTTTCACTGCAGTAAAGTAGGACGGAACGAACTACTGTACAGTAAACCCATCATTTGGTTGGTAAACGGGTATCTCGCCTACGCCATAAATGACGCAAGTTGAAAAAAGCTAGTCGAGCCCTCTGTATCTGTGCTGAGATTTCGTCACACATGAGACTACAAGGGATGGTTAATATAAAAAAAGGATGAACGATACACAAAATGATACTTAAAGTCTACAAAAAGAAGTTATCACAAAAGTGGATAAAAAGAATACAGAATAACATAGATAACTGAGTTTTAGACGATAATGAAGGACGGAAGCATCCAAATTCAACCAATTAACCTATTACGACAAATTTAATGTGTAATTGTGTCATGTTTTAAATATAATAGTTGGCATGCTTGAAATGTAGAATATGCATTTATTTACGAAATGTCTCATTTTAATTAAAAATTCGACAAAACTCAATATATGAAACTTATTATTTATTTATTTATTTTAACAGATAGATATTGGTACAAGGAGGCACCAAATACATATGCGCCACACAAATCTCATTCGATATATGTGAAGGCTGTAATACTGCCCGGGTGCCCAAACCGAACCAGGTGGCTTTCTTAGGGGGCCACACCCCGAGCTTTCGACCTGAAGGTCTGATCCACAAGGCAGTGGAGCATCGTAAGGAGATGCAGTCCCATGGTAGCCGGTGATCAACGATTGGTTCATGCGCCATTTGTTCCCGCAGAATACTGGAGCCCATGTGCCCCATTGTTTTGGAATCCGGTTAAAGCGCCGGACATTCGCTTTTTGTCCTCTCAATTTCGTAAACAACAGTAATGCCACGAGAAGGCAATGAGTAAGACTTCCCTGGTAGAGGCTATATACGCGTGGCCGTGTGAGAGCATTTCGAGAGGGAGAGCTTATTAAATTACAACTCAATAAACTTTAGGATGAAGTACTCTTCCTAGAAGTGCAAACTTTTGCATTAGGACTGGTTTGAACCAACATATGACCTGATTATGGATTATGAAGTACATGAGCGACTTGATTGCTTCACTTGAAAGTTTCATTAATAATGGTGAGTCACTGGTTGACAAAACAATGATACGGATTCAGAAAGATTGCTTGAACTTTCTAAACATGCACCAGGTGTGGCATAAGTGTGATATCGATATGGATATCAAAGGGAAAGTATATCAAGCAGTAGTCTGCTCGATTTCGCTTTATAGCTATGGGATGTGACGTATGAAGTAAACAAGTATGGGTTGCTCATGTTTGGTGATAGATGTTTTTGAAGAATCACCTTCATAGAATAGAATGACTAAGTGATTAATGATGTGGTTAAACGTAGGACCCCAGGTAGGAATGGGAAATCGATTAACGAGGTAGCAAGCCATTATCAATTAAAGTGGTTTAGACACATCTCCAAATACCTTTTGTTTCAATGAACTATGTCGACTTGCATAAGAAAAGATTGGATGAAAGCTAGCTAACAGCAGCTAAACGAAGACGTGGTATCATTACATGAAGTAATTGTTTGATGTACTAAGGAATGCCACTAGATGAAAACTATCTGTTTGGGACCCTTACACCAATCATGATCACTGGTTGAAGACTATAAGTAGCATAGATTACAAATCGATCACGGTGGAGTAGATGTGTTCATCATTTTTTCCTTTAATTTTCAGTTTTAAAGTTACTCTATCCTTCTTATTCCTCGAATTCATTCCTTATAGTGAAAATATACATTCGAAATGAGTCAATCAGAATTCAGAACGCGGCTTTTAGGTTTTTGAACGAAATTAAACTATCATGCATAACGAGCATCCGAAATACCATTTTATACTACTCAAAATCTTCAAAATAATGGTGGAAAATTATTTTATGTCACCACAGTAAAAAAAAGATAGTATTCATCACATCAAATGCCTAATTCCGTCTCTACAGATTGTAAGTAGCAAGTAATTTGACATTATCTCCAATTCTCTAACTTATACTGTGAATTGTGAAACAAACCAATAGCTGATCGCACTACATTTTATGGATGAACTAATAAGATAGTGCTTCTTAACTTTTCAAGCGGAATTCATTCATCTGTATAACTAAATTAATATTCTGTAATACACAACTTAGAATAAGAAAATATCGAAATTTTAATTCATGTATCACTTACAGAATTTTCATCTGAACTGCTTTGAGAACCTGGAATTAAAGGATGATAAAGATTGAAATATCGACGATAACCATTGATGGCGATAACTGTTCCAACACAGTTCACTGGATTAATAAATAAAATTCCACTATTATTATTATCATCATCAGTAGTATCATTCACATTCTTATTCTTTTGCATAGTTTTATTAGAACGAATATGTATTGTTAAATTAGATCTGATAGATTCAAGTAATTTTGCAAGCCAACCAGAATATCGATCCATAGAAAGACAAGCACGTTGAATTTGACTTCCACTAATGAAAGAATAAAATTATTTCAAAAAAAAGTAATAAAACTTAAATAATAATTTCACTAATAATGAACACATGCTTTGATCGGATAGAAATTTATCATTAATTTGTAGTTGCATTTTAGTACACAAAGTTAGTGGTTCTTACAACCATTTTAACACCGATTTAAACACCTTACAATAAGCTAATATCCGGTGATCTAACCGGTTTGGTGAATACGAACGCCTCAACTGGGAGGAATTGGAAAACTCTGATTCAAAACCAATGGTGCACATGGGCTCCCGTATCCTGAGGAAACAAATGCTGTATGAACCAATCATTGGTCACTGGCTACCATCAGACTGCATCCCCCAACGTCGATCCACTACCTTGTTGATCAGACCTTTATTAGATCGAAGGCTTCGGGTGTGGCCCCCTAAAAAACCAACCGCTTCGGTCTGGGCACCCGCGCAGTAACACAGCCCACACACAAATCAAGTGACTTGTGTGGCGCATATGTATTCGGTGCCCCATTGTACCCACATTTATGTGTTCAGATAAAAATAAAAATAAGGCTTAACATATCAACTGAAATAAGTAGTTAAATTGTGAGTTATTTACAAAACCTGAAAGTATTACAATGCTGATCAAAATAAGCCTAAACTAAATGAGTTGAAATAGTGCACTTCTACATCGGTTAAGGTTTAAATAAGACCAAGATGTGTGATGTGTAAATTTCGAAAGTCATTTTAAAGTAAAGAGATAGCGAAAATTCTTAAGAAGGTATCGAGTTACAGTCAATATAAAGAAATAAATGATGTAAATAGAATGTATGATTCCGCCTGGAGCCCTTCCGAAGCTATTACCGGCCTCTAACCCGGATAAAGGAGAAGGGTTGGGTGTTAAAAAAACGCTAACCAGAAAGTAAGTAAATAGAATGTATAATAGAACAGGCGTAATATCGAGTTAACTGAGATAATTGATAATAACATAAAGTTAAGAAATTCACGCGAACTACGAAAAAACAACTTGGAACAAACTGAATACGACAAGGTAGAGATAAACATAAAGGTTTGTGACATGTGATTTATGCATTGGGTGACGCGATTGTGCATCACAGTAAACAGCATCTGAATATAACATTTCTGGTGCATAAGTCAGAGTTGTTGTAGCGCGAGACTGAAGGCCCCGAGTTCAAATCCCGCGGGCGGGATTGTGGATGCGCACTGTTGAGGACTCCCACGATAGAACGAAAAGGCCGTCCAATGCTTCCAGGCTTTCAATGGTGGCCTAACATTAGTCATTTCAAGATCTCAATCAACAAAAACATACTGTGACAATAGTGTCAGTATATAAAAGCCATTGAAGTGTTTAGATAATGTCCATTCTGATATTAAATTCATCAGTGACGAGGAACATGAGAACAGTATAGCTTTACAGGACATCGTTTTTTTTTCTCAGAAAGATGGACGAATTAGTAAAAAGGAATCAATTTGGAAATAATACATTGACTGGTTAGTATATTCATTCCCACAGTTTTACACCTCTTCAGTACAAAATAAATCTGGTTAACCATCTTAACTACAAAACCAAACTATAATGTCCTGAGGTTAGTGTGTATGAGGAAATAAGTAAACTGAATACACTATGAAGTAACGGATACAGAAATAATTTTATTAAAATGTATTATCTGAACTAAAAACAAAACAATCAAACCTACCAAACTCGACGAGTTTTGAAGTCAAACTGATCACGTAATCGATTATCTTGAGTAGTTCCACGAACACATAATACTAGAAGCCTGAAACCTTTAGGGGCATCACGAACAAGACGGTCATATGTGGAAGGATTTAATGAAACAATAGGAGTAAGTGCAGATGACCTAGACATAAATACAAAATAATAAATATTTATGGTATTACTATTAGCTAAACTTTAGACTTGATACTTACAACAGTTTATAGTAATTTCTAACGACATTGTTGTCTTATTACTCCAAAACACCAAAAGGTAATGTATTTAATGATCAAAAGATATCATCCCAATGACAGAAAATATGGGCTTTTAATCTACAACAAAATTTCAGAGCTCAGAATCAAACGAAAAAAGGAGGTTTTGAGGACATTCGTAGCATTTGTAAGTTGCGATCTTGTAAATCAATAGTAAAACCACACGAGTCATGGATTGAAACTACTCGTTGAACTTTCAGTTATTGTGACATAAATTTTAGGAAATAGGAAGTTCCGTGAAGTAGTGAAGGAACAGAAGACAATGGATGTCTACCTATACTTATGGGTCACTATTTTTTTATTTTACAAACAACATTGAATTTTCCAGTTTTCGGTTGTGTTTCTTTTAGCAAAATCAATATGTAATGTAAACAGTATCTACTCAAGTGCTTTTACACAACGCTCATAACATGTTGTGAAGGTTTTTATTGCAAAATTTAAGAGGGATCATTATGATGGTCGGTACAGTGTTCTTCTAGTTCATTGGAGAAAACAGAAGCGATAACAATAGAATTTATGTGCCAAGTATGTTATGCGATGCACAATTTCATAAAGAATAAAACTGTACAAAAACCCTTGTCAACAAATATAAATGGCAGTTAATAATTAAGGAAAGACGACTTTATTCAGTCTTTACATATATACAGTCACTCAGTTACAACGTAGGACCAAACACATATGTGCATTGGTCCAAGATGCCATACCTCATTAGCAGAGCAACATGAACACCGGATTCATAAAAGTAGTTAATTCAGAGGTGGTGATATATAAAAGAAAGATTGCATATAACGATACAGTACAGGAAGAACGAATTAGTTGGTAGAAAGAAAGATACAAAGCAATTTTAATGTCATGGTTTAACGGAAGACAGAGAGTGTATACACCTACACTATTGTGATCGACTCTGAGCCATGTCACCAAGAGTCTCCAACCATTGATTACGATAGTCACGCGTACCCCAACCGAGTAGTCTGCATCTACCAACATGGCTAAGACTAGAAGTTAGTGACTTCGAGGAGTGATGCCATGCTTTGGTTTGACTGTTCCTAACTTTCTTCCAGTCATCCCCAACACTAGTCAGCATTGTGCGTCGTGGTAATCGGTGTTCAGGTATACGTAACACGTGACCCAATCATCTCAGTCGATGAAGATTCATAACCTCATCAACATATATACAAGTAAAACGGATGTAAGAAAATAACCATTTAAAATATTCCATGTACTTTAAGCGATGATCAAACATATGTTGATGAATCAATCTATTATTTTTTATGATCAAAACTAATTCATCATTATTGATGTAGGAAAACGCCTTATTACGGTCTTGAATAAATCATAAATGTACACTACTATAAGGAATATCTAACTAGACTAAAACAGTGTTTCAGGGCTCCTTGATTATAAATGGCTCTTCTAAAAGATACATCAATTGGTTGATGAAAACCATATATGTTGCAATCAAACAATTAATAAAAAAAAAGAAATAAAACAAAACAACTGACCCTTCAGTAAATTTACACTGACTACTACTGCTATTATTACCACAACTACTACTATTTTTATCACTAATATTACTGTTTGATGAGAATGATGTATTAACATCTTGATTTGTTTCGTTGTAACGCTTCTCTGTTGTACATTTATTCTGTTGTTCATTTTTTGTTGCTTGTACAAGTGTTGATATTAAACTGAATAATAGTAAACCGATGATAATCATAAAACTTGAAAAGACAAACGCCAAAGGATGATTTACAAGGCTGTAAAAAAGAAAAATACCAAAGAGAAAAATTAATATGGTAGAATGACTAAAGAATGAAATATATATATATATATATATATATATATATATATATATATATATATATATATACCAGGTTACGATTATTTGGTCATAAATGACTTCAAGGCACTGTTCGTGTATCTTTGGTCCACAGAGTGAGAGATACTGATGTTAAATGCATGGTAATAGGCACATAATGAGAAATTGGTTGAAATATTAGTGAATCTCAATTGACTGATGTGATCTGGAAATGCAGTACATACAACAAATAACTGCATATACTTTGGAGCAACGATGATGGTTGACGTAGAGGTCAGTTGGAAAAATGTTAACGATGACAAAACCGAAAATCGGAACCAGCCCATGAATTCACTAACCACCAGACAGACATACTGCAAACAGGTTAGGGTCAGCCAGATAAGCACAATTAGTGGTTAGAGAGATTGTATGATATGATTCAGGATCCATCACAATGCAATAAATGCAAACAATTCGGTCATCGCTTAGATTCTGGTTTTCGTAAATATTATAATTTTTCATTACACGAAAATATAATCTCTTTGAAAATCAAACTACATTCTTTCGAAGTACCATTAGAACTACTACAACCTAATAAAGAAAAGATGTTATTTGGCTGTCTGCTTGAATAACTGGGCTACCTGTTTCTGCCATATAAATATTTCAACAGATTGTCTGTTTTTTATTTTGTTTTAACACCTTATTATGTCTGTTAATCGCATAACCTTTATAGGTGTGTTTATGAAAAGCATAGGACATAGGTTACAAAAAAGTACAATAAGAGATATCGTGGTAGTTGGCAATATGTATTGAAGAGAATGAATATAATTCATATGTCGATTCCCGAGCTGCTAAATTCTAAGTACCGATCACTAATTAACAAGGTGGACTATCTTCAATTTCTACTAAGCCAAAGCATGTATCGTAAATGTGGTATCATCACAATTCAAAAATCTTGGTTAACTGATTTACAGGACGATTTCTTAGTACCACTACGTGATTTCAATATTTATCGTTAGGATCGATCAAGCAATAAAAAGTCGTTTGGCGGCAGTATAGCTACGTTCGTAAAAGTAAACTGGTGTCGATCTACCTTTGTATGTTTCAAGTTTTCTAATGATTTTATCGATTGTCTAACTATAATATACCATCCAAAACACCTGAATAAATACAAATATGTTTATGTTACCAACATCTACGTAACTCCAGACGGCACATCATTTGTAAAATCTGTTTTCGCTGATGAATTCACTGAATTCGCTGTTACTGCCTTCAGTGGTTCACTTTCAATTGTATGTGTTGGTTTCAATTCATGTGACTTTCACTACTAGGTCACCAAAATGTAGTAGAATTTCACACTCGTTTAGATGCTCATTAGACTTCGTTTTCATTAATGAGGTGGGTACATATGTAGAACGAGACGTCAATACATTGAAACCCACGCACGCAAGCAAAAGTATAGAAGTTCTATAATACTTTACCTAGGAGATATACTGTGTGACGAACAGGTTGTTAGAGTCGACCTAGTCAATAACCTGTATTCTTAAACATATCTCTAACTAAAAGGTTGTACAGTCTCTCACACTCACAAAAAATTTTGGCTTAATCTTGTATAGTTATTTTCTATTTCATGATATGATACGGTCTGATTTTCTTGCACACAAACTGCGTTTGCCTGAATTACGTGATTCATACAGTGGAAGCTGAGATTGTATTCTGGACTCAAATGGATAGGGCTAGATGAGGTACAATAAGAACTCAGAGTTGACATTAGGCTGCTCATACTGGTTAACGCATAACTGGTTTGACACAATATCAAGGTCGTGTAAGTCAGTGTTCTGATCAGCGATTTAGTCACGTGAAATTTGACGGGGCTTAGGACACAACAGAATGTAGCAACGATTGGAGGTAAAATTCTTATTGACAGAAGACGAAAATAAGGAGAAGATAAAAATGTGGAAAGTCCCCAAATGCCCTGGTAATGCCGAGAGTGAGGAGAGTTACCTCTCTCGAAAGGCTTTCACATGGTCACGCATATACAGCCACTACCAGGGAAGTCCTACTCACTGCCTTCTCGTGGTGGCCCGTTGTTTACGAAACCGAGAGGATAAAAGGCGTGTTTCCGATGCTTTACCCGGGTTGGTGGATACGGAGGATCCATCTAGAGGAGTTGGGAAACCCTGATTCCAAACCAGTGATGCACATGGCCTTCAGTATCCTGGGGAACAAATGGTGTATGAACCAATCGTTGGTCACTGGCTACAATCAGACTGCACCTCCAAACGTTGCTTAACTGCCTTGTGGATCAGACCATTAGGTCAAGGGCTACGGGTGTGGCCCCTTAGGAAAACCATCTGCCTCGGTCTGGGAACTCGGGCAGTATCACAGCCCACACACAAATCAAGTGACTTGTGTGGTGCATATGTATTCGGTGCCCCTTTGTATCAATGTTTATGTGTTCAAATAAATAAATAAATAACACAATGGAGTTTATAGGGGACAACTCAACGAAGATGCACAAATGGTGCATTTAATGTATTGTTTACATATTTTACAATTGCAGTGTAATTATGCAGTTGGTTTTTCGCCTGACGATGTCTTCGTTCTTTAAATAAGGTGATTTGATACTTTAAACAAAAAAGAAATATGTAACTGTAATCTATCTACTTGTTCAGCATAATTTAACGTCAACAGAGAAGAGAACAATATATCTGAATGACTAACCTACTGAAAAGAGAAAGAGAAAAAATCAACTTACTCAAACATTGAATGTCCAATATCCACAAGAATTTGTAACAGCCTATTCTCATTCTAATCCATATTGACGCTACTAATTCATCAATCATTAATTCCTCAATCATACAATCTTTGAGTAGATACCATTGAGATACCACTTTATCAATTGAATGAGTGAAATGATTTGTTGGATTAATTACTTTGTCAATAATAGATACTGTCTGGATAATATTTTCTAAATCATTCATTAAAGCAGTATACATTTGTTTAGTAGATTTCAGGATTAAACTTTTTAAATCATTTGATTTCAGCATTTTTTCATTTAAATGAGTTCTTGGATGAGACATTGAATTAGTGGGAAGAAATTGATAAACTGTTTCAGTTGAACTGATACGCCAAATTAATGCTAAACGGCCCATATTATCTAAAGTATAAAAAAAAGAAATTTCTCAAAAACTTGAAGAAAACACTATAAACAGGTAAAAAATTTTCGGAGGTTTAACGGACACAACTAAGTTTCTCGATATTTGAGGTGGGTCTATAGTTCATGCAACTAGATTCAGATTACTTGACTAAAGTAGTCGTGATTATCGTAATCAATGATTGGAGATTTTGGATGATATGGCTCAAAACAGTTCTCAAGGGAACATAATTATTCACTATTTTCGACCCACTTAAATCTTGGGTTTCCAGATTATCTTAGATTCATTTTAATTTCATAAACTCATTCATCTCGAATTATATCGTCTAGATCTAGTCTTTTCTACTGCTACTATTATTACTTCTACTAATCTGACGTTATTCTTGATAGTTTTGTCTTTTTGTACTGATACAGTGTAAAAACTTCAACTGATGTACGGGCATGGTAGGTTTTAGGTTGCATATGATCGATTGACTAGCTGACTGATAACTGACACATCAAACGAACTTATGAAAATCACTGATATTCTAAAAAACAGCAATTCAGCTGCTTACAGCGTTACAAATAAATTCATGCAATACATTTTCAGCCCAAAAAGTAGAGAGAATGTGCAAGTATCAGTTCATGACCATACAATGATAATCGAGCAGTAACAAAAATTCAACGTCACTGATGCAAGTGTAAAAGAAAAGAAAAGGGAAGAGAATACGAAATGTTCAGTCATTTCACTGTTATTAAAAACTCACTATCCTAGCCGGTCATTTTGTATATTGGTATAAGTGCATTCATGAGTTTGTGTAGATGATTTGACCTCAACAGCAGCTATACGTCTGTCACATCGTATTACCAGGATTCACATATCAATCAGTTTTGTATTTATCACTTCGACAACCCTGAACAAGCACCATTTAACCACTTCATAGCCACCATATAAACCCTATTCCATACTAGATAGGCACAGAACAAACGCAATTTCAGTAAACATGTCGACATTTTGGAAACCGAATGGCATCAGTCCATTTTATTATGCAAGAGCTGTGTAGATAAATGATAAAATCTCCAGATGAGGTAGATTTTACAAATCACGTAACAATTTAGGAACTAGGTATTAGATAGTACTTAATTCTAGGTAGGGTAAAGTAAGTTGTGTTACATTTAGGGTCAACTTTTTCCCATTCCTACTTTTGCGTGAGAAGGTAACACCGCCTCATAGACGGGTTGTTTGAGGAGAAAACTTACTCTCATTATACCCCAGCACGGTTAGTAGTACGACATTGCCCATGGACCTTTACATTGTTGCGTCAAGAATTCTTTCCAACTAACCTACCTGGAGTATTAGGACCTTAAGAAATGAGTATTCTAGACAATATAGCTTGATTAGATTATTGTAACAATCAAGCCTATTCACCACTTCAAGGCACCAGCTACGGTCGGGCCTCCAAGCCAACTTTTCTCCGGATAGTGTGAGATTTTTAGCAGTGATTTTTTTCATTCCAGCAATAGTGGGAGCGTTAAAATATACTAGGAGTCACATACACACGCCGACTACGAAATCCCAAATGAAATTTCATGCTTATCCCTTAGTTATACTAAAGAAACCACTATAATACAAATGAAAACATTAATAAAATATTTGTAGAACCATTATAGATTATTCAGTTTAATTTAGTCAACCAAGTAGCTTTTTTTAGCTCACCTTCATTAAGTAAATTACACGATTCATTTGAACATGTAGAAGATGTACTTAATTTTTGCATTAAACCAATCTGACGATCCACATAAATATGTACAGGCATAAAATGATAACTATGGTGATTTGTATGATATAATTTTGATAAATCTGTTTGAGATAATTGTAATGTATGACGTAACATAGTTAACCATATATCACCCCAACTGTTTACTTGTTCAACATTGGATAACTTTGAATTTAACAATAATACTAAGCATAAATGACGATGATTAGAATGATCATTATAATGTTTATCTGATTCTAAAGCATATTTACTAGTTGGTTTACTTCCATCAGTTGGGCATAAATCCAACAGTCGTGCACGACTATATATTCTAGGGATATTTAATTGACTATAAGTTAACATTGCATTATCCAATAAAGTAGGTGATAATTTTGTAGCTGATTGACGATAGACAGGTATGCTTGAATCTTCATGATATATCAATAAGGTCTCCTATGGTGAAAAAGATAATTTCTAGTTTAGATTGATTATATTTACTATACAACAATAACGGCTAGATAAGTGTTTTAAAACAAGTTAAGCAGAACTGTAGAATTCTTCTATCCAGGTTTAGAAGAAATTTTAAAAGTAAAAGATTTTAATATTATGTGATAAAACGGTGAGATTCCATGAGATTTGAAGAAACAGGATTAAGTTATATTTTAATCTTAAGTTGTGGATTATTATGAAACAGAACGTATAAAAAACAGTCCTATTGTAAAACACAACGATAGACAGGAGGTATTCATAATTATTGAGAGAAGTTACAAAATATTTAAATAATACATATCAATAGCATTCAATTTGCATATTTCATTGTGTTCTATCATCTGGGGTGTCTTCTCATCTGTTCTCAAGGTGTCATGCTAACGCTGCGCTTTTGATGCACTGGAACTCTTTACTCCGTCTGACAACTGTGACAATTTCTATGTCATGTTCCACTACATTCTACTTATAAACAATCTTGTGACTGGAGTCCACTACACTATGAGTGGAATCGAGCCAGATGAGAGAGGCTTCGAATTCATGATATGATATTTAAAATTTTCAATCGCTAGCCACATCTGGAGCCTTCCACTTAAAGATCTAATCCACAAGGCAGTTAAGCAACGCTAGGAAATGCAGTCTGACGGTAGACGGTGACCAACGATTGGTTCACACTCCATTTTTTCCCTCAGGATACTGGAGACTATGTGCACCATTGGTTTGGAATACGAGTTTCCTATCTCCCTTAGATGGATCCTCTGTATCCACCGACCCGGTTAAGGCGTCAGAAACACGCCTTTTATCCTCTCGGTTTCGTAAACAACAGGCCACCGCGAGAAGGCAGTGAGTAGGACTTCCCTGGTAGTGGCCGTATACGCGTGACCATGTGACGGCATTTCGAGAGGGAGAGTTGACTCTCTCCACCCTCATCCGAACCGGGGCATTCGGGGATGATGATAAATATACAAAGCATTTCATTCAGAAGCACTACATACATGCAGAAAATGATAACCTGAAGATACTATACAAAATGTGAGACAAAATGAAAATTATAGTGTAAACCAGATTACAAATTTATTTAAATACCTAAATACAGATACATAAATACACACATACACTAGGACTAACCTCATTTGGATTTACATTGAATTCGTTAACAAGATTATGATTGTTACCAGGTTCAGAATTAATATAACCAGCAGCTAAATGATCTGCTGCTCTGAAAGCAGCCACACAATACCGTAATGGTGGTAAAGTTAATGGTTTAATAAGTACCATTCTGGGTCGACTGTCACGACGCCAACCATAATGAAAAGTATTAATAAATGTATCATAATCACTAATACCTTGTATTAATGGTGTATCGATTGTTGTGCTAAGAAATATTGGTAACGCCTTAGACCGTGAAGGATTCGATTTCATAATTGCACTTCTTAATGCGTCAATAAGACTACTATGACTGAAATCACCTCGAGAGTAATAAGAAACCTGAAGATTTCCAAAAAATAAAGAACAAAAGCCAAGATTATCGCAGTCAAAAATGATTGAAGAAATAGTTTGTTTCTTTTTGTATCAGAATTACAAAAATGACTTCATAAGAATGTTGCTTGGTTAATGGAAGTTTATTATGTAAACATTGTGAAGCCATAGTTTATTTGTCTAAAACATTATATAATTCAACTGCCACCAGTTTTGAGGTTAAAATTAAACTTCAGTTACTTTGGCTGAATCAATCTCTTATACAAAGTGTATCGGTGAGGAACGTTCTGATATATGATTGTGAAACTTGACACCTCAGAGCAAAGGATTTTCAGTGACTCAATATTTTACCAGTATTGCCTCTGAAAGATCATTCATATATGCTGACAAGAACGTATGGGTGATTTAAGGTCTGGTGATGGTAATTCCATCAGTGTCACGATCGTGAAAACAACATCGGCGGCTTAAACATGTCATTACAGCAAGGTCCAATGTTGCTGTTGAGTGGATAAATCCGAAAGGCGATCAGTTAGTGACATAGCATCGTAGAGTGACTATTTTGTTGAGACACTAAAGACTATGTAACTCAGTGGCTTGATATTTCATCAGATATGAACCAGCATAAAACGCAATAACGACCCTGTTATATCTTTCTACTACACCGTTTATAACAGTAGGATAAACATTAGTAACTGGAATCCCATTTTAGTTATTTTCTTAAGTGGACAGTATCCTTACTTACTTAATTACGCCTGTTACTCCCAATGGAGCATAGGCCGCTGACCAGCATTCTCCAACCCACTCTGTCCTGGGCCTTCTTTTCTAGTTCCATCCAATTCTTGTTCATTTTTCTCATGTCTTTCTCCATTTCTCGGCGTAATGTGTTCTTTGGTCTTCCTCTTTTCCTTTGACCTTCAGGATTCCATGTGAGGGCTTGTCTTGTGACGCAGTTGGGTGCTTTCCTCAATGTGTGTCCTATCCACTTCCAGCGCTTCTTCCTGATTTCTTCCTCCGCTGGGATCTGGTTTGTTCTCTCCCACAGTACGTTGTTGCTAATAGTGTCCGGCCAACGGATCTGAAGTATTTTGCGTAGACAACTGTTAATAAACACCTGTATTTTCTGGATGATGGCTTTTGTAGTTCTCCAGGTTTCTGCCCCATACAGTAGAACTGTCTTGACATTTGTATTGAAAATCCTGACCTTGGTGTTGGTTGACAGTTGCTTTGAGTTCCAGATGTTCCTCAGTTGTAAATATGCTGCTCTTGCTTTGCCGATCCGCGCCTTCACATCTGCATCAGATCCACCCTGTTCATCAATGATGCTGCCCAAATATGTAAAGGTTTTTACATCTTCCAAATCTTCTCCGTCAATTGTGATTGGATTGGTGCATTCTGTGTTGTATCGGAGAATCCTGCTTTTCCCTTTGTGTATATTGAGACCTACTGCTGCTGAGGCTGCTGCCACACTGTTCGTCTTCTCCTGCATCTGTTGTTGCGTTTGGGATAGAAGGGCCAGATCGTCTGCGAAGTCTAGATCATCCAACTGCATCTTAGATGTCCATTGTATCCCGCGCTTCCCTTCAGACGTTGACGTCTTCATGATCCAGTCGATCACCAGGAGAAAGAGAAAGGGTGAGAGTAAGCAACCTTGCCTAACACCGGTCTTCACTTCGAACGACTTTGTCAACTGTCCTCCATGCACGATTTTGCAGTGTAATCCATCATATGAGTTCTGTATGATATTGACTATCTTCTGAGGCACGCCGTAGTGTCGAAGAAGTTTCCATAGTGTTGTTCTGTCCACGCTATCAAATGCCTTTTCGTAGTCAATGAAGTTGATGTAGAGTGATGAATTCCATTCAATTGATTGTTCCACAATGATCCGTAGAGTTGCGATTTGGTCTGTACACGATCTATCCTTACGGAATCCTGCCTGTTGGTCACGAAGTTGGGCGTCTACGCAGTCCTTCATCCTGTTTAACAATACCCTGTTGAAGACTTTTCCCGGTATTGAGAGAAGAGTGATGCCCCTGTAGTTATCACACTTGCTGAGATCGCCTTTCTTCGGTATTTTGATCAGAAGTCCTTCTTTCCAGTCTTTTGGTACTTGTTCCTCATCCCAAATCTTATTGAAGAGAATGTGGAGTATCCTTGCAGTTGCCGCTACGTCTGCTTTTAGTGCCTCTGCTGGATGTTGTCCGGTCCTGCTGCTTTGCCACTCTTGATTTGTCTGATGGCCATGCTGATTTCTTCAATTGTTGGTGGGCCAACATTGATTGGGAGGTCCGTGGGTGCTGCTTCGATGTTGGGTGGGTTCAGTGGAGCTGGTCGATTCAAGAGTTCTTTGAAGTGTTCTACCCACCTGTTTTGTTGCTCTTCAATGTTGGTGATTACCTTGCCTTCCTTGCTTTTCACTGGTCGTTCTGGTTTGCGGCGATTTCCAGAGAGTTTCTTTGTCGTGTCATACAGTTGTCTCATGTTTCCTTCTCTTGCAGCCTTTTCCGCCGTCGTTGCTAAATCTTCCACATATTTACGTTTGTCGGTTCTGATGCTCCTCTTCACTTGTTTGTTTACTTCTGTGTATTCAGCTTGTGCCTTGGCTTTTTCTGCTCTTGTTCGACTGGTATTGATTGCTGCCTTCTTGTTCCTCCTTTCTTGAATCTTATCCAGTGTATCAACAGTGATCCATTCCTTGTGGTGGTGCTTCTTGTGACCCAGGACCTCATGACATGTTGAAGTGATTGCCTCTTTGATCCCCTTCCAGTTGCTCTCCACAGTAGTTCCTTCTCCATTGAGTAGATCATGAAAGGCCTGGAACTTGTTGCTGAGGACTATCTTGAATTTGTTGAGTTTGTTAGTATCCTGAAGAAAGGCCGTATTGAACTTTTGTGATATTGTCCGCCCCGTTGTCCAGTGCTTCTTGAGTTTCAATTTCATCTTGGCGACCAGCAAGTGATGATCTGATGCTATATCAGCTCCTCTCTTGGTTCTCACGTCCTCTATAGTCCTCCTGAACGTTTTGTTGATGCAAATATGGTCGATTTGGTTTTGTGTAGTATGATCCGGTGAAGTCCATGTGGTTTTGTGTATGCGTTTATGTGGGAATATGGTGCCGCCTATGACCAGCTTATTGAAGGCACATAGATTTGCAAATCTCTCACCATTTTCGTTTCTTTCTCCCAGTCCGTGTCGTCCCATGATGTCTTCATATCCAGTGTTGTCCGTTCCAACCTTGGCGTTGAAATCTCCCATCAGAATGGTCAGGTCCTTTGTTGGGCACTTCTCGACGATTGACTGCAGCCTATTGTAGAATTGATCTTTAGCGTCTTCATTGTAGTCGTTGGTAGGCGCATAGCATTGGATGATGTTCATTGAAATGCCCTCTTTCTTTGTTTTGAACGAGGCTTTGATGATCCTTGGTCCATGAGATTCCCATCCTATAAGTGCATTTTGCGCTTGTTTGGACAGCATCAATGCAACTCCTTGTGTATGTGGTGCATTTTCTTCTTCATGGCCGGAGTATAACAGGAGCTCTCCTGTAGTTAGTCGTTGTTGTCCAACTTGTGTCCAATGTGTTTCACTGATCCCAAGTACCTCTAGGTTGTATCTTCTCATTTCTGCAGCAATTTGGAAGGCTCTTCCGGTGTCCCACATTGTACGAACATTCCATGTACCTAAATAAATGGTCGCTCTGGTTGTCAGAAGGGGCATCGGCCTCGTAACTTCCGAAGGAATTCGGCTTTCATCATGAGGCGTCATAATTCTTCTAAATGAAGACCTTCTGACTCCCAGGGCAGAGTTTAAAATATTTGAATAATTTTTTCTGGTTAGCGTTTTTTTAGCGAGTTAGTTTTCTACGGGATGGGGACGCTAACCCCATGCCCAACCCTCCTCCTTTATCCGGGCTTGGGACCGGCAGTAGCCCCCGGAGGGACTCCAGGCGGAGTTGGACAGTATCCTTCGTCATTAATATCCTTGTTCGTAAGCAATTATTGATCGACAATGAATAATCTAAATTTCATGAAACCGCAACACAGTTTTCTATCGAAGAAGCACGCCCCATAGTTCACTAAACTAAAACAATTGCGTGATCAGTATTCACAATGTAACTTCCTCTGAGTATCATAAAAGTAATATCAGAGAAAGTACAGCAAAAAACTTAAAGGGAAAAAAGACTGTGTACGTCAGCTGATACCACATAAATGAATAACAAAATCCAACATATTTAACAGGTATAGGTTTATGTACTCAGCTTTCAGTCAACATCGTGACTGACTTTTAGTTACATTTGTGAGGCTAAGCGATACCACCTGGTTGTTCTGATAGAATTCAAAAGTGTGGTCGGAGACTAAGACCTATTGACTGGAAGTCAAGTATTTTAAACAATAAGCGACTGTCGCATGATGATTATAATTACATATGTTGTCTGAATAAAAAATTGTACAAAAAGAACTTCTACCAACTATACTATTTATTCTATGTAAAGTTTCATTTTCCATTTACTGTGAAATACAAGTGATAACTTTTCCTGACCAGAAAAGACAACTGAATCTACAATAAACCCTTTCAGAAAAAAAACAGAAAAACATCTATGAGCTAACCTGTCCATCAACAACTATTGTCACACTCGGAACATGTAATACGCGTAGCTCTTCACGCAGTGCAGAATCATGTTCTAAATTGACACTAGCCACAGTAATCCCCAACGGAGTAAGCTCATCTGCTAATTGTGACCAAATGGGACGAACTTGACGACAAGGGAAACAAAAATCAGAATAACCAAATATGAACAAAGGCACCGTCCGAGATCGTGGGAGATGGGTTAAGCGATAGTTTCGAAAGTCGATATTCTTTGAACAATAGCAAATAAAAATATGAAACTAAATAGTGACAGAATAATTTATTACAACTTTTAAATTTAAATGAATAATTTCGGAGTAGTTAATATAAGATTATCAATAATCTTGATGGTGGATTATATTTACTTGACAAAGATTGTATCAGACGGCCAAGCGAAACGTCGAATTTACATAAACTTTAAGCCACTGAAACTTTTGGAAATATGATTTTCCTCCTCCCTACTGTCTAACAAGTGACACATTTGTTTAACATCGTACTAACCGGTTTAAATCATGCTGACTAAGAACAACTAAGTGCTCATACACATAAATTAATATGCGGTTTATTGAAGGCTCTAAATATCAATAGGAACAAGATCGACAGAACAAATTAAACTCATTTGTTTGTTAACTTTATTAGGTGAAGAACAACCTCGAATATTGTCCGAAATGACACGTTTATTGAATTATTATTACTATTGTTTAAACACATAAACATTGATACAAAGGGGCACCGAATACATATGCGCCACACAAGTCACTTCATTTGTGTGTAGGCTGTTATACTGCCCGGGTGACCAGATCGAAGCAAGTGGTTTTCTTAGGAGGTCACACCCCGAGCCTCCGACCTAAAGGTCTGATCCGCAGGGCAGTTGAGCAACATCAGGAGGTGTAGTCTCATGGTAGCCGGTGACCAACAATAAGTTCACATGCTACTTGTCCCCTCATGATTTTGGAGGATATATGCACCATTGGTTTGGAATCAGGGTTTTCCATCTCCCCTAGATGAATTTTCCGTATCCACCAGCCCGGTTAAAGCGTCGGACATTCGCATTTCACCCCTTCAATTTCGTGAACAACAGGCCAACAGTGAGAAGGCAGTCAGTAGGACTTCTCTGACAGCGGCTGTATACGTGTGGCCATGTAAGAGCATTTGGAGGAGCGATGGCTTTCCCCACACTCGTCCGTACCAGGGTATTTGGAAGCTTTGTTTATTGAAATAAAATGAGTAGATGAATTTGAGAAAATAGAGAGTGCCAACGTTAAACTTGGACGACCAAATTACCGGTTAAAGCATGTGAAACCTGGAAAATAAACCGGATAAGTAGTGAAGGTCTAGTCGACTTGTGAGTATGACAATAGGGTGCAAATCACAATTGTTTGTATGCAATCGCAATCAACCTTTCTATTAGTGATGACTTCTCATTTTTGCTTCACATTGTTTAGACATTACCGGACCAGAAGACATAGTAGTGAAAAATATGCTATTTTAGAGACAACTTCTTAACCTCACCTTCCATCTGAGAGAAAAGAACACTATATTCAATATACTTTAAGCATGTCATTAAAATGAAACCTACAATGTGATAACTGTGACATTGTTGGTGAAAGTGCTTCGGCGAGGCTACAAACTGTGGACGAGCCAATCAGAAGCTTCAGGTCTTGAGGCATAGACGATTAAGCGGCTTTAGTAGTAACAAGAAGACGAATATTATCAGAACTATGTGATACATTAGCGCAACACATTTCGAACAATTTGATAACACATATACTTGTTAAGAAAATTTATATATAAGAATAAAAGGTCAACGAGACTAGGAATGGAGGGTAAGAGGAGACAAGGATAATAAAGAAATAATGAGAAAACAATTTAAAACCTCATCAATCTGGATAATAAGTCAAAATTACCAGCATACGCAATTTTACACTTTTGTACAACACCACAAAAGCTGAGTTAAGATCAATCTTATGACCTGTTTCAATTATGTATTTGGCAATAGAGGATGATGAATGTTTATCCTCTACTCTTATCGGATCACTTGATTTTAGTTGCTTCTGAAACCATTTACGTACATGTTCATACACTTTAATTTTCAGATCACAACTACTTCTTCCTATTTATGTGTGATTACATACACATTTAAATTGGTAAACACAGTGGGATGTTACGCAATAGTTTTCTTGTCTTTTAGGTTTTCGATGGAGCATGAACCTTGTTTCCTTGATAATGTTCTTTGCTGCACAATATGTCACATAGTTTTGATAATCTTCGCTTCTTAATATACTATCGAGATTTAGAAACAACCTTGATATCATATTTACGTGAAAATCAAATTTACCTTCGGAGTTCTAAATAGAAACAAAAGAAATAAAAAATTAACAAGCGAGTCGTTATCTGATGCCAAAGTCCGTCACTTCCTAATCAACGTAAAGCCTGATACGAATGTGTTGGTTCTAGTGAAGAAAACGGAAAATTTTCAAACGTGATGGAAAACTATGACCCTGAGTTATACATAATATTTGAATATTATTTTCATCATTTTGATGCGTAACTACAATCATGTATAAACTCACAAGCCTATATGAATACTGAGCAGACTAGGCTGATTCTCGAACTCATATGTTTTCAGACAGTTAATAGTATTTCTTGCAATATATTTACTACAGATTATAATAGGACTTACAAGGACATTGGTTGAGAATTGTGGGGCACGGTTGAACCCTGGAAAGAAATTAAAAAGATCTTCAAACGAAGAATGAACAAATTCGTGACGGTATGGATAATGTCCAGGGGGAGGTGCACTCCCATCTGAATGGACTTTTCCGAAGGTATCATATTCATGCCGTTTCTTAGAGTTGGATAGTACCTAAATAGGGTGAAAAAATCTCGTATTAATGGAATGCTACCTCATAGGCTTCATTTATTTCAATGAACTTTTTGTTTGCTTTATCTGAAGGATTCTTATCCGGATGCCTGAAAGTTTACAATAATAAACAAAGCCCACGGACTTCGGAAACTTACCATTTCTTCGCTAGTTTCCTATATGCTGTCTTAATTTCCAAATTTGAGGCAGATTTAGATACTCCAAGGACGTCATAATAATCACAAAAAGCATAACGGATTAACAGAACCAACTGAATAAGTAGTGACAATCTCATCCCCTGCAACGCATTACTCAAAAGAAGCGGTTAGCGTATGGAGACTTGGATATTTTGACGAATAAACGTAGCAAGATAAATATGTATCTGTAGAAGATTTTCGAATGACATATACATTTCACTTGTTCTGGATACACAAGATTTTTTTAAAGGGACACCTAGAACAGGTTTCTGTGATTTCATTAGAATGTAGAGGTAGACAAATCTGAAAAATAAGTAGTGTAGCCGTAGATAAGTCTTTAAAATAAATAAGTCTGTAAGTTCTCAACATTTATACTGACCTCATTAGTTTTACCGAACACACCTAGCTGAAGGCGTCCGGTCACACATCCTCATCAGATCTCTAGCACATTCGCAGTGCTTCAGATGCCTTGAGACTACCAAGCGCCTTACGGCTCCAGTTATATAGATATTTTTCCAAATATATTGCCGAATTCCCTTATTCCTGGCTTCTGAATCAATTGTGTTGGCATATATCGATTATAAAAGTTTTACGTGTAAATGCGTTATCAAACTGAGAATATCTGGGCATCTTCGGTGGTGAGAGACATGATCTGGTACACCAAACAGTAAAGTGGGAGTCTTTTTTTATGGAACATTACATATCGTTCTTCAAATTATTATTTTCACAAGTTGCGATGATCTTTACATGTTTTCGGATGTTTTTTCCTCGTCCATTGGTATATCTTATCTTCATCATGACGTAACTGATACCTAAGCTATTTAAGTTTGAAACTATTTGGTCCCCGAACTTCCAATTCATGCCATTCTAACCCGGTGCTATGGAAGCCTGTTTCTGCCATACAGAATTTGACTTCTGCGAGCACATGTAACTGACTCGCGTGTACAATACCTCACAGTAGTGAAAGATAAACCGCGCAATTTTGACACTACGTCATGCCTAGTATTTTCGTAGTGGCACTGCATCAGATTAGAAAGTCACATCATGACAAATCTACAATTTAAGCATTAGGTCTATTATTAAAGCAGTACTAATAACGAAGTAGACCATAAATCTATAGTTTATCTAGTGATGTGTCGGAACCCTACAACACTTTGAATAAGAATATTATTAACCTTGGAGTAATAACCGACCGCCAAAAGTAAGATTAAGCCCTCAACAACTTCGAACTACAACATGGCTTAGTAGCAAAACTGTTGCTACGAGTGAGAGTGATGATGTCATAGGTATTCAGTGTTTGACAACGCTTATACCAGTAACACCTTCTAATATGATTTGTACCCACCGAGAGAAATCAGAAGACAGAGTCGAGGAGATCGGAAGAGTGTATTTGGCGATTACCAATATATCGGAATTCTCTGATCTAATCTGGCTAGCGATTGCGGTTGATGTTGAGCACGGCGTTACCACACGTGATCTGGTGCGGATGCCTGACCGAGCGCCTTCAGCTAGATGAGTCCACTAAAACATATGGTCAGCATCCAATGTCGAAAACTTACAGGGCTATTTATTTTGGGGATTTATTTACCGCTACAGATCACTCCCCCTAGCGGGTTAGTGATGACCCTAAGACGTGGCCAGCCAGAAGTTTAAACCCGGCGAGTCTGTCGTTGGTAAACACTCTTCTGATAGCTTGCAAGGATTAGCAGCGTCTGGTCGTCTTTCCTTACTATATAGGACCGAGGTACAACATAGTAAAAAAAGAAAAGTACGATGAAAATTTCGACTCCTCATAAACGTCATCGTTCTTTTCCAGACAGCCTAGAAAAGAAAAAAGAAACTGTAAGTGCATGTCGAAATACACTCGTATGTGCGTAAAAACACAATGTCGGCGAAAAAAATTGGAATATAAACTAATTTACAGGTAATATCGTTAAAAATTGTTTTTTTGTTTTTGTTTTGTTTGAATAAAAAAATTTAAAAAATATATAAGCATATATTTTTTAAAAAAATATATGTCGTGAAAAGAAAGATCGAGATAATATTAAATGTCTAGTGGTGTCTTACGTGCAATAGTCGTTTAAATGCTCTGGAAATCTAACTCTTCTTCCAGACCGCGTCGTTTTAAGTTTGTTTTCAGATACATTCGGAGTATCATCGCTAGTGTTGGTTGTCGGTTGAGGAATTATGAGTGGAGTCGTGTCGTTCGATTGTACCGAAGGAAAATCCACGTAGATAGGATTTCCTTCTAAATACGCTGCTTTGAAGCGATCGATGCTGATGCTATCGTTGGTTCCGTTCTTATCGATTATATAGTACTTAGATTCACGTTGAAGAACTTTGAAGGGTCCTTCGTATGCTGATTCGAATGGTCGTCGATGCGAGTCTCGACGAACGAAAACGTGTGTACCATATCGTAAGTCAGGTTGAACGAAAACATCAGTTGATTGAGGTCGAGTGGAAGCAGGTTTAACTGAACGCATTGCGTTTGTAAGCCTGTTCGTGTAGGAGGTTAGATCCATGTTCATTGAAGAGGACGAAGGATCCACGAATTCTCCTGGAAGTCGAAGTGTCGTTCCATAAACGAGTTGAGCCGCAGTGTATCCAATGTCAGCTTTCACTGCATTGCGGATACCTAGTAAGACGAGTGGAAGAGCGTAAGTCCACTGTGAAATGTTTGCAGCTGATAGTGAAGCTTTTAGTTGCCAGTGAAAGCGTTCTACCAAATCGTTTACTTGTGGATGGTAGGCGGTCGTTTGGAAGCGAGTGGTTCCTAGAAGTGTGGTCAGACGACGGAAAAGTTCAGATTCAAACTGACGTCCGCGGTCTGTAGTGATGGTTGAAGGGCAGCCGAAGTTTGCTACCCATCGTTCGACGAATGTGCGGGCCACTGTTTCAACAGTGATGTCCATGATAGGTACTGCTTCTGGCCATCGAGTGAAACGGTCTACGCAGGTTAAGAGGTAAGATTATCCATTTGAATCTGGTAAAGGTCCTACCAAATCCAGATGAGTGGTTTATGGTCAGTGAAAAGAGTGAATTCACGGCCTTCGATGTAGTGTTGAAAATGTCGTACAGCACAATACATAGCTAGGAGTTCCCTACCGAATGTGTTGTATCTCGATTCGGTGTCTATCAACCTTCTAGAGAAAAATGCCAAGGGTTGCCAGGAGTTGTTAACCCATTGTTGTAAGACGCCACCGATTGCCGAGTCCGATGCGTCTGTAGAATTGTGGTCTACTATGATGTTAGTACTGCTCTAATAATAGACCTAATCCTAAATTTGTAGATTTGTCATGATATAACTGCCTAATCTATAAGATCTTACGTGGAAGTCACACCATCGACTACACCAACTCACTGTATCGTATCAATTACCAATACATGATGTAGAACAAGGTTAGGCTAGAGAAAGAACAATATATTTAATATGAATAGAAGATATAAGGCAACATTCAGCAGAGACCACGCCTGCATGGCCGAGCCATGCCACTCGATCAACTCCAGTCCATTCAATTCATTGTTCGCGCCTTCTCCATTGTTAGGTATTTCTCCGCGTTAAATATTGAATATCTATTTTCTGAGTAGTCTCGTGTTCACAGCTTTGTGGATTGTGTGGCTATTGTCCAATGCCACTACACTACTCTCCCACCAGAATCAACGTGATGTTGGTTCGATACCAAATTGGATGGGATCGTCGCGCGCGGTGGGTTACCAAGGATAATAAGAATCCTCCGGGTATTGGTAAGCTGAAAGATAAATCAAAAAGAAAGCGGCAGCATCTGGTCGGGAAATACATGTAATAATTTTAAAATATCTGCCTTCATGCTTAAAACGCTTGAAATGAAAATTTGGGTGAAGATTATTTGAGCTATAAAAAATGGGGTTACAATATAATAATAATAATAAAACGATGCGTGTTAATAGCCGTTGGTTAATAACTTAACGTATAGGTAGTAAGTATTTTGTGTTTAGAAATATTAAAGTGATGAATATTGTAGAAATGTTAATATTGGTATTAGTTTTGGTTTAAATTATGAAATCAAATAACGATTATGCCGGTAAGTTGTCCATAAGTGATTTCCAATTGCATCTGTATTAGTAGGCTAACTGAAGGAACAAAAGTATACCGTGGAGAAGAATTCCAACTAGTGTTCCAGTTAGTTTGATACGGTTTATTTAGTTACGGGGAGATTTTCTCAACCTCATTTTTACTTGACCGTGATAGAATTTAGTAATACTACTAATACACATGAATGGTTATCAAAACAAAATTTAAATACGTGAGTGATAATTATATGAATTTTGGACAGATAGCTAGGAACAAATCGTTAAACATGAGTGTATTCGTAAGAGACATGCTCTAGACTCAATGTTCTGATCTGTGGCAGACTATTTATTTATATTTATACTTGCCGGCTGATTGGGCATACAAGTTAGTTGCAAGTATGCAGTTTATCATAAGGCGGAATACGATTTAATTGAGATATAGTGGTTATAAGTTATTAAAATCAGTTAGCCTATGTCATATTACGAAGTGATGTGGTGCTGCAAGATGTATTTAGCTAAATAAGTTTTTACAAGATGATTAATAGTGAGTGATGCTCATGTGATTATCAGGGAGAACATAAGTTGTAACCAGGGGAGTACACTCCCAACTCATGTCTATGATAATGGCTTGAACCTTAGTCAGTGTTGGGGTAAATTCGACATTGATGTTTTCAGTTTGCAGGAGATTTGCTCGACTGCTTATACTGATTATTTGCATGCATGATTGTGTCGCTAAACCATCAATTAGACTGACAAGGTTTTGAGATATTTACTGAATGAGCAACTGATAGAGAAACATACTGTAATCATCTGTAGTGAATGAAGATAAAAGAAAAACAACACTAGTGATAATTATAAGTCAATTTGCTGACCGATTTTGTTAATAGTTTCATTAATTTTATCAATCATATTACGTGATTGTCAAGTCATGACAATGCTTTATGACGATATCCTGAAACTATTACGTTTAACTAGTTATAGTGTTGATTGAGGATTAGTCAGTGGAAAAATAGGTATTGTTGCTTTAGGTGATTCGAAATTATCAGAA